TGTTGTGAGAAGAGACCGGTCCTTGGAGAAGGACATCATGCTTGGGAGGGTGGAGGGACAGCGCAGGAGGGGAAGGCCCTCTATGAGGTGGAGTGATTCAGTGACTAGGATAATCAGGATGGGAGTGTCAGAGATGGTGCGATTGGCACAGGACAGAGCAGAGTTTAGGGCTGTTTTACATAGGGTCGCTGTGAGTCACAAGCGACTCAACGGCACATGACAACATTCTGACTGTGGTGAGATTATATAGTTTTAATTTGCATCTCTCTTAGAGCTAGGGTTTTTTAACATTTCTTCATGTGCTTGTTAGCCATCTGAATGTCTTCTTCGGTGAAGTGTCTGTTCATATCCTGTGCCCATTTTTCTATTGGATTATTAGCCTTTATCTTGTGGTGCTCAAGTACTTTATAAATTCTGGATATAAGTCCCTTATCTGATATGTCATTACCAAATACTTTTTCCCAGTCGGTGGCTTTATTTGTTTGTTTTTAACATGCAATTTTTTTAGTTCTCAATTAACAAGTGTGCTTGGAAGAGATTCGTATTTGTTCCTATACCCAAGAACAGTAAACCAACAGAATGTGGACATTTTAAATTTAAAAACATCAAGACAGGAGTGTGTCAGGGATGTATCCTTTCTCCATACCTTTTCAAATATGTGGAACAGTTTAACAGATCATTCGGGAGGCTGGACTTTATGAAGAAGGAATATTGGCATCAATATTGGAGGAAGATTCATCAATAGCCTTTATTTATTATGAAGAAGACACAACCTTACCAAAATGAAGGAGAACTTGAAGAGCTTGCTGCAGAAGGTCAAAGACTATAGTCTTCAGTACAGATTGCATCTCACCATCAAGAAAACAAAGATCCTCAACCACTGGCCAATAGGCAGCAGCATAATGGATGGAGAAAGGATTGAGGGTGCCAATGATTTCATCTTCCTTGGATCTACAATCAACACTCTTGGCACCAGCAAACAAGAAATCAAAAAGATGTGTTTTATTGGGAAAAATCTACTCTCAAGGATCTCTCCAGAGAGCTAAATAGAAACAATAACAGTTTAGAGACTAAGGTGCCTTATCCAGGCCATGGTTTTCTCAGTTGCTTGTTGTGCATCTGAGAGGTGGACAGTAAATAAGGATGACAGAAGTAGAATTAAGGCCTTTACATTGTGGTGCTGGAAAAGAGTTGTGAACATACTATGGTCTGTCAAGAGAACAAATAGTCTGTCCTGCAGAGGGTGAAACCAGTTTGCTTTTTAGAAGCAAGGATTTTGAAGCTCTTTCTCACATATTTTGGGCATGTTGCTGGAAGGATAGAGGATCAACACCGAAGAAAGTCAGAACCAGCCTGTAGCTGACCACCCCCCTCCCCAACCCACCCCCTAGTTGGGTTTTCAGAGTAAGTGTATCACATGGGAGGAGACTGCCCATCTTTTTGCCATGGATCAGCTGGTGGATTCAAACCACGTGCCTTTGGTATTGCAGCACAGCATCTTACCACTAGGCCACCATATACTTAGATTTTTACCACATTTCAAGGAGCCCTGGTAGTACGATACATTTACATGTTGTTCTGTTAACCAAAAGCTAGCATGTTCTAGCCTCCCTACTTGGTGTGAGAAAGATGGAATGTTTCCCCATGAGGACCTAGAGTCTATGGATGGAGGGTTGCAAGGAGGCAGAATCTGCTCAAAGACAATGGGCTTGGTTCTTGGTTTTATTTTATTTTATGCCAAAGTATTTATTCTCACTGGGGTGGTTGTGGTTGTTGTTATGTGCCGTCGAGTCGCCTGCGACTCAGCGACCCTATGTATAACAGCCCTAAACTCCGCTCTGTCCTGTGCCAATCACACTGTCTCTGACACTCCCATCCCAATTATCCCAGTCACTGAATCAAT